CTCTGTCTCTCTCTCTCTCTCTTTCGTCCCAATTATTTAAGAAATCAAACTGCCCACTCCTCCTTAGTTCTCCCTTCCTGTGCCATGGGACCTCCCAGTGGTGGGCGGTCCCACATCCAGGGACAGAAGTGCATGGTGTGGAAACAGATGGAGTTTCACTCAGCTCTCCCCCTTCCCATTTCTGATTTCCTTGAGCTTTCTGAATGGTGAATGACAACCTTTTTGCTTCTTCAGGACACAGCTTCCTCCCTTCCTCCCTTCCTCCCTCCATCCTTCCTCTCCCTTCCCAGAGCGGGAAAGAAAGTGCCTGGTTCAAGGTCACAGAGCAGATTCATAACAGGGCTGGGAGAGAAAGCAGGACTTCCAGCTGTCTGTCTCCTGGGGGCGCCACAGCAGTCAGGGCCGGTACATAGCTGCCCCGGGACCCTGGAGGAAGTGGGCTCAGGTATGTCTGCCTTAAGTGGCCACCCTTCGAATTGCTTCGGGCTGCGGGCTTCCTAGATGTGGCTAGCGGCACAGCCACCAGCATCTCAGCTGAGATCAGGTTTGGAGTCTGATCCTTTCCTTTTACCATGGCAGCTTCTGTGGGCGTTACCGTCCACAGCCGGGCAAAGGGAAGCCCATTCAGAAACTTTCCTCAAGGGAAGGGCTTGCCATCATCTGCCCTTAACATTCAGCCCCTATTGGTTCTTCCTTTTATAAACAGCCCAAGTTTTAGTTTGCCCTTTTGCCACCTCCACTCCTGTCAACTCAGCCCAAACTAGAGCCATGTCAGATACCACCCATCTGCTCAGTATCCCTCCATCCCCCTACCCCATTGCTTCCTAGCTCACTCAGTGAAATCCAAAATCCTCACCATAGCCCAAGATCTAATATATGATCTGGCTTCATTGCCTACTGCTCTACTCCTGTTAACTGTGCTCCAGCCACCCTGGCCTCCTGGCCAGGATTCTCCCAGCCCAGGGCCTTTGCACTAGCTGTCCCCTCTGCCTGTGACCATTTCCCCCCAGAAACCCAAATATGTTCACCCTTCATTTTCTCCAAGTCTCTGCCCAAATGATACTTTATTAGACAGGTCTTCCCTGAGCACCCCCTTCTCATCCCTCCATCTTCCCTCTTAGAACTTCAGTTCTTTCAAAACACTTGTAACTATTTACTTGTAAATAGTTCATCATCTCTTTCCTCTGCCTAGAATGTCGGCTTCATGAGAATAGACTTTCTCTGTTTTGGTCCCCACTGTACTGTGTCCCCGTGATTAGAATAGTGCCTCATCGTGTGTGTGTGTCTGTGTGTCTGTGTGTGTGTGTCTGTGTGTGTGTGTGTGTGCATGCTTGTGTGCACATGTGCGTGTGTGCAGAGGAATGAGTTCTGAATTGTCCAGTGTTTGCCTCCTAAAACCCACCTAGGATCTGTCCACATCCTGGCCCAGCCACTCCTCAGGGCAGAGGGAAGAAGCATCCCCGTAGCATCTTTCCCCAGACGACTGAACAGGCTGTGTCATGTGCCATGCTGCCCCACCTCCCTCACCCTGAAACCAGGGATTTTGTGAACCCACTCTGCAGGAGGGAGGAGACAAAGGTGGAGGCAGATAATGCAGATTTTATGAAACTGAAGAACTTAATGAGGCTAGTGATACTTGGCACTGAACTCCTTGGACCTAAGAGTTTACCCCGGGTTTAACACGCATTAACTCCCTGCACTTGAGCCAGGACCAGCCTGCCAGGTGGGTTTAGAAGTTTCTTTTTTATGTCAGGTCCAGCTGCATAGAGAACTCAGGTGCTTGTCTCTCTGTCCCTCTCTCCCCATCAACATGTAAATGGGAGGGAACACGAGATACCTTCTTTTTAAAGGTAGCCAGACGGCGTAGGCCTCATTTTGAAGACAGAGCTGCATTCCAGACTCTTACTGCTGTTTTCATTTGATGGCTCATAATGAGGGTTGGACAGACCAGAAACCTGTAGCGCCTCTAACCAAGGCTCTCATGATTAGCAAGCAGTGAGGGCCTGCTTTTCCGTGCCTTGTGGGCGTTTCTGGGCTTCAGACTGAGGTTTCATTGAGCTTAGGATCAGCTGATTCTCCAGCGCAAAGGCATTTCTGAAGCAGCTCTGAGTGCCCACCTGCACTAAATCAAGAGTGTCATCCAGTCTGGGCCATGACTTCTCGAATCAGCCATGGTGACAGGCCAGGGAATCTGCGTCCCCACTCTTAATTGCCGACCGAAGCTTCTATAAAATACAATGAAAATGAGTGTCTAAAAAATGAAATCAAAGACATGTAAAACGCAAGCCAATTTGTAAAAAATTATTAGACATATAATCACTCTGTCAAATTACTGTGAGATTTATTTTAAAAAATTTTTTATGTTTGTTTATTTTTGACAGAGAGAGAGAGAGAGAGCAGGGGAGGGTCAGACAGAAAGGGACACACAGAATCCAAAGCAGGCTCCAGGCTCTGAGCTGTCAGCACAGAGTCCAATGCAGGGCTCGAATTCACTAACTGCGAGAGCATGACCTGAGCTAACGTCAGACACTTAACAGACTGAGCCACCCAGGCGCCTCAACTCTGAGACTCTTTTAAAGCTCACTCTCAATTTCTGGAATTAACTTGTTGTGATCCAGTAAAAAAAAAAAAAAAAGTAACACACAGTTTGCAGACCTGTCCCAGTATGCAGACCACACTGTGGAGCAGTGACCAAGAGCATGCGTTTGGGGTGCGGGGTCCCCAGGTTAAGTCCCGGCTGGTTCACTTACCACCATTTAACGTCCGCGAGCCTGTTTCCTCATTTGTAAACTGGAAATACCTCCCTTATGGGGTGGTTGTGCAGATTAAATGAGATTTAATCTATGTTTTCCCCACTCTCAAGCCTAAAAAATATCAGGGAGCAGGGAGGAAAACCACCCTGGGGAGAGTAACCCAAAGCGAGCCGTTTGCTTTGGCTGTGAATGAGGGCTGCAGAGCTGTGTGAGTTTTTAGATGCCTGATCTGAGTTGTCTGCAGGCATCTGCTTCTTGGTCTGTGAGAGACCGAAGGCACGCAGCTGGGCTTGTGACCGAGAGTCTGGGGACCTCCGTCCCCAGCTGCCACACTGCTGCCTTTGTCCCCCGAACCTCTGGAAGGGCTCTCTCAGTACCTGGCTTCCCTTTAGGGAACACTTAAGAGTTACTTCCACTTCTTACTTTCTTACTCGATTTTCTTGCCTGCATCCTGGCTGGGAATGTGCTGCCGAAAGGGTTCTACACCGGTAACAATAAAATAATCATAAACATGATGAATGATAATGGCTTCTACCTTGTCGAGCCTTTGAAGCATTTCCACAAGGTCTCTCTCTCTCTCTCTTTCTCTCTCTCTGATGCAATCAGGGATTCTTTGGCTTCTCCCCCCTGGTTCTGTGACCCTGCCAAAAGTTATGGCATTTCGACCTGGAGAAATGGAAGCCAGGTTGCAACTTCTTGAAGCCAAGTTAGCTGTGCAACTCGCTGCTGGGAGGCAGGATTGTCGGTGCCAGTTTCTGCCGCCCAGGAGTCCGAGAGCGGGGCTGGGAGCTGGCATCGCAGGGCTCAGACTCCTCCTCTCCTGGGAAATGTGGGGTAAGGCTTAATGGCGTGGAAAAAAGTCCTGGAAGCGAGGCCATGGGAGGTGGCCTGGAGAAGAGAGGAACAAGAGTAGTAATAATGGCGTTACAGTTCATCTTTACCAAGGACTCTGTGCCAAGCATGACGTTAAGTGCTTCACATTTATTATTTATTTGAATCCTCCGAATGTTTAGGTGAGATACAATCATTCCATTTTACAGATGAGGAGATGGAGGCTCTGGTGAGAAACTTACGTAAGGCACAGGGTTGCAGGTACCAGAGCCCTGACTGGAAGCCCGGAGTGCCTGACTCTGGGATCTGCACTCTCACCTGTTAACCTGCTGATTCTCTCACCTCACCAGACATTAGATTCACCGAGGGAGCTTTTACAAGATAGGATGCGTAGGTCCCGCCCCAGACCGATGAAAGCAGAGTGTTGAGGATGGGAGCCAGGTGTCCACACGTCCCCGCTCTCGGCTGCTCCAGGGGGTACCAGCGAGGAGCAGAGTCAGGTGCAGAGAGAGGAAGGAGGGAGGAGGTGGGGGTGGGGGCACAGGGCTCTCTTTCCTGGTGGAGATCTCCAGTTCCAGGGGTGTCATTTTCCCTTGCTGAGGCTGTCCCAGGAGAACTTGGCCGCTAATGGACCTAAGTGCAGCCCCC